AATGATTAAACCACAATATACAACGACTGTATTACAATAATCCAAAAACAAAGAAAATATAAAAATGAATTAGTATTAAAAACTTATAAATTAAAAGCTCTAATATAATAGCATATCTCCAAAAGTGGTCATAAGACCTTAACCCAACACAAAAACCTTTAAGTTTGTATTCTATTTGAAATTTGTATATGATATGTATGCATGTCTTCCTAAAAGATTGGCCTTTTTATAGTAAACATTTCGCTAAATGATAATTAAACATAATATAAATTATAAAACTTTTGAGTGTTAAATCATAATTAAGAAAACTTTTGAGTTGCATTAGTTAAAAAATGGAGTTTCAAATGAATGTGGTTTGAAGAAGTTAAAAAAGGGGGTTTCAAATGCATGATATTCAAGAAAAAAAATGCTAGCTTTATAAGTATGTATGATATAGATTAGTATATAAAATTTGATATCAAAATGATAGTGAACTTCGTTGGATAAGTAGTATAGAAGATTGTACGTTCCATGGGGTATATAACATATGCTCAATATATTAATGATTAAACCACAATATACAATGACTGTATTACAATAATCCAAAAACAAATAAAATATAAAAACGAATTAGTATTACAAACTTACAAATTAAAAGCTCTAATATAATAGCATATCTCCAAAAGTGGTCATAAGACCTCAACCCAACACAAAAACCTTTAAGTTTGTATTCTTTTTGAAATTTGTATATGATCTGTATGCATGTCTTCCCAAAAGATTGGTCTTTTATAGTAAAATTTTCACTAAATGATAATTAAACATAATATAAATTATAAAACTTTTGAGTGTTAACTCATAATTAAGAAAACTTTTGAGTTGCATTAGTTAAAAATAGAGTTTCAAATGAATGTGGTTTGAAGAAGTTAAAAAAGAGGGTTTCAAATGCATGATATTCCAGAAAAAAAATGTTAGCTTTATAAGTATGTATGATATCGATTAGTATATAAAATTTAATATCAAAATGATAGTGAACTTCGTTGGATAAGTAGTATAGAAGATTGTACGTTTCATGGGGGCGTTGAAGGGGGCAAAGTGGACAGCTCTATAGAGCTTAACTTTATTATTATTATTATTATATATTATATATATTTTAATTTAAAAATAAAAACTTATAATAATGATAATGATTTTTTTTCTGTCTCGTCATAGGTCTTTGAGAATATTTAATTTCTCAGGACCGTCATATACGTATATTCTATTATGATTATAGGCTAGTTTGATTTTTTTAATCATAAAATTGGCTATAAGAGTTTCAAGAACCTTAGAATTTTGAATTTTGTAAAATTGTATAATTTAACTACAACTAATATTTGACCTGCCGTACGTTGCGGTGATGCTAATACATTTTGTAAATTGAATTTTGACAACTTTATTGATAAAAGTTCGGTATCGTTGTATTTGTTGATAAATAAATATACAAGCTCGATATCACTAACAACACTGTTGGTAGATGGGATAAATACGAAAGTTTTGAAAGTTGAGGTGATTAAATAACATTTTATAAAATTAAAGTTCGAGGGGGTCTAATTAACATTTGACAGAGTTGATGGGTGCTAACTGTAAGAAAATCATATTATATAAACTACAAATTGTTAAACTTAAACTTGCGAAATTAGATGGTGAAGTTCAACATTTTAGAAAGTTCTAAGATACATGAGCAGTTGAAAGCAACATTTTACAAATTAGAGGGCTAGAAAATGCCATTTCACCAAGTTGAAGGGTGGCAAGTGTTGGTTGTAATATTCACCAAGTTCAAGGGTACCACTTACTAAGTCCAATCTTTATCGTTGAATAAAAAAAACTTTTATATGTGATCAAACTCATATGCAAGAAACATATATAAAATTAAAAACTAAGATGCAAACAAAATTTTGTATCGAAACATATATAAATTTGAATTTACATTGACATGTACATAAAAATAAGCAAATAAAGTTTTTTTTTAAGTTAACAAACGAATAAAATTAAAAACTAAGATGCAAACAAAATTTTGTATCGAAACGTATATAAACTTGAATTTACATTGACATGTACATAAAAATAAGCAAATAAAGTTTTTTTTTTTTTTTTTTTTTTTTTTTTTTTTTTTTTTAAAGTTAACAAACGAAAGTTCAAATAATAAAAACGTACTATATGTGAAATGACTCAAATGTAGAAAGTGACGAAACATACATAAAAATAAATACGAAAAAATAAAAGATAAATTAAATCAAAACTAGACAAACTAGAATTTATACTGACACATATATAAAAAAAACAAGTAATTAAAGTTCTAAATTTACGTTGAAATATTGAGAACATATAAAAATAAGTAGGTAAAATTTTTTATATAAGATTAAGAACAAATGTTATTAGGGAAAATCAAATTATATGTACTACGAATGATAAACGTGAAAGTTTAGAAAATGAAAATGATGAAATTGCAGACCAAAAAAAGAAAAAAATAATAACAAGGATTGAAATTGCCATGTAAAATAGGGAAATATGCAAAAAAGACCGAAAATTTTGGCTCAGTTTATGATTTAGTCATAAATTAAATTTCACTTATGAAAAAAGCCAGATTATCGGCTATTACATTCAGTTTAGCCCTAGGAAACGGTAATCCTTATAATAGCCGGTTACCCCATCTGGCTCATCTTTATCACCCTTCACTAACCTCCCCGTCATCTACTCCTCCTCTGTAAAAACCCTTTTCTTACCCTCCATTGAAGCAAAACGTTACCTAAGAAGAATCAAAGGTAAGAAAATCCACGTGGTTCTCCAATATCTTGTTTCCCTTATAATATTTGATTAATTTTTGTTTTGTAGTGATAATGGAGACAGTAAATGACTTCAATACCATTGACGTGGAATTGGATGAGTTTTTCAAACACAAACAAAGAAGTCGATGCAAAGATGAGTTCCTAAATACTCTCACAGACGAAGCGCTTGACGAATGCACCATACCTGAGATAAACCTAAATGATTTTGAAGGAATGTTGGAAGATGAAGCACTGCAGGAGAAACAGAGTGATAGTGGGGGTGACGATGAAGAAAAATTACAGTTTCAATACTTAACCCATGATTCTAAGGTGAAGTGGAACAATATGAAGTCAGTTCTTGGAGAGAGGTATGAATCACCACACCAACTGTAGCTTTGTTTGGCAAATTACTCTATAAGTAGGGGTTATCCAATTAGGTTCAAGAAATGTGATAGTGTAAGGCTTGTGGATGTATGTGCAAGTGACCTTGAGAAATTTCAATGTCCCTTTGTTGTAAGGGTATCATGGATGAGCACTGAAAGATCATTCCAAATCAAAAAAATGGTTGAGCAACATACCTGTGTTAGGAATTTCCGTAGTGCTAATCTTATGGATCCCACATGAATAGCTAGACATTTTCTGAAGGAGATGATTAGGAAACCAAATCTAAAATGTAAGGAAATGCAAGCTATTATTCAAAGTAGGTTCCATTACAAGGTTTCATGGTCAAAATGTTATAGAGCAAAGTGTAGGGCAATTTATTTAATAGATGGAAAGTTGAGTGATCACTATGCAAAATTTTGGGATTATGGACATGAGCTGATGAGGTCCAATCCAGGGAGTATAATTCAAATATTTGTCACTGTAAACCATGATAAACTACTACTTTCCATAGAATGTATACATGTTTTAAGGCTATCAAAGAAGGATGGAAAGTTGGTTGTCAAAGAGTTATAAGGCTTGATGGGAGTTTTTTGAAAGGGCAATGTAAAGGTGAGCTGCTAACTGCCATAGGGAGGGATACAAATAACCATGTGTATCCCATTGCTTGGGCAGTAGTTGAAATTGAGAACAAGCCCAACTGGGAACGGTTCTTGGAATTATTACATGATGACCTAGATTTACAAGGACGCTTGGATTTGTGTGTTATTTCTGGTCAACACAAGGTAATGTTTTTGATTATCTCTTTTTTTCATTTCATTTATACATGTATCAAGAAATTAGTAATGAATTTTTTTAATGTAACTGACAGGGTCTTTTGGAAGCTGTAAAGGTTGTATTGCCACATGTGGAGCACAGACAATGTGCAAGACATGTGTATGCAAATTTCAGAAAGGTCTTCAGTGGTATAGGGTTCAAGAATATGTTTTGAATAGTTGCCAAGTCAACTATTGAAGGAGACTTCAAATTGAATATGGAGAAGATCAGAGAAGTCAATCCTGCTGCTTATGATCATTTGATGGCAAGGGAGCCTAAATCTTGGTGCAAGGAATTTTTTAAAGGTGGAATGGCATGTGATGCTATTGAAAATGGAATGGTAGAGTGTTTTAATTCCACCATACTTGATGCCAGAAAGAAGCCTTTATTGGCCATGCTTGAGGAGATTAGACTATATATGATGGAAAGGTTATTTAACTTGAAGCAAGAAGAACGTAAATAGGTGAATAATGTGTGTCCAGGACCTATTAAGAAAATGGATGAGTTTTCTTTTGATATCAAGTAAGTATTATAAAATTAAGACAATGTATGAGTTTAGTATTGAGACTCAATATGTATACTAATTAAAACTGTTAATGTGTTTGCAGGAGTTTGTATGTTCATCCTAGTGGTTTGAATGCCTTTGAAGTGAGAAATGACTTCCACTCATATGGATTGAACTTAGAGGGGATGTACTATACATGCAGACTTTGGGAGTTGTCTGGGATCCCCTGTGTCCATGCCCAAGCAACCATAATTTACACACAACAGGATCCAACTAGATTCATCAACACATGGTTTGGTAAGGACAAGTTCTTAGCTACTTATGAGTTTAACATTCTTCCTGTTAATGGTAGTAATATGTGGGAACCAACACCTCACACCAAACCACTACCACCTGTTGAAAGAAGGGTGCTAGGAAGGCCTTGTATGAAAAGGAAAAGGCATGTCTCTGAGCATCAAGACAGGTTCTCCTAAGTCTCCTCTAAGGGTAGAACTGTCCAATGTCAAAATTGTAGGCAAATGGGGCACAATAAAGTTTCTTTCAAGAATCCCTCAGTCAAACGAACACCAAAGCCTAAGAATAAAATAGGAAGGCCAAGGTTGAATCCAAAATTGACCAATTGCACAAGACTTGGGAGAGGTAGTGGAAGAGGTGGTAGAAGTGGTGGAAGAGGTGGTGGAAGAGGTAGTAGAAGAGGGGGTAGAAGTGGTGGAAGAGGGTCTACCAGTGTTTATGAAGAAGGTGAAAGTTCTGGGAAAAAAGAAACTGGGATTGAGACTCAATTTGTCACCCAAACAACACCTAATGTTGAGAGTCAATTTGTCACCAAAGCAGCACCTACTGTTGATATTGAACATGTACCAGAAACATAGGAAGTATATGTTAAGATTGATGATGAAGGTGATGGTCTTAATATGGCTGATCTGGATCAAATACTGCATGATTTGAGTTACCTTAGAGAGTCAAAATACAGTGAAGCAGAGATCCTTTTGTGTCATAATATCAGCCAATCACAAATTAAAGGCTTTAATGCTTTGCTTCGCTAATCCAAACAAGCTGCAAAGGTATATTTTATAACATTGAGAGTGAATTTTATTTTTCAATAACATAACTAACTTGTATTTTTTCCCATGCCAGGATGTGCCTTTTGTGAGTGAACATGTACCAGAAACACAGGAGGACAATGATGAAAACAAGGAGGAGAGTGACTATGAAAATGGAGTTGAAGAATCACAGGTGGACAATTATGACGATGGAGCTGAGGATGATGAAGAGGGAGTTGATGATACTCAAGTTAGAGTTTGAACTCAAGTCAGGGTTCGAACAAGAAAACCTTCTGAAAGGATCACTAAAAACATGTTGAAGAATATTGTGGTTGACAAGAAAGGAATATGAATGTCTCTAGAAAAACCTCTTAGTTTGGATTAGATTGGTTAGGATTTAAGCAGTTATATGGGTTATTTGGGCAAATATGTTAGGAAACCCTTTTTGGTAAATTTGTTAATATGCCCTTTCTTTTGTAAACAATATACAATATGGCTGCATTGTTAACACTATGGCTGATTTTGGTATGTTTTACTGATGTATAAGTTACATCCATTTTGGTCATTATGTTATATTGAAAAACATCCTTCATTTTCTCACATCATACACTTACAATTGTACATTGCTCAAACAGTAGGTATCCATAAACCAATTTTACATTCAACAACATACAACTTACATCCAACTGTAATTTAAAAGTTTTACAACAACTTAAAGCTACTTCAACATAATCCACACAATCACCAACAAACACAAAAAAACCCAATCTTCCATTTTTCACCTTCACCTTGCACAGGAACCTCTTCAATGCCATTGTTGTGAAAATCCACAGCTTCTTCCACAAATTCTTCCACGAACTCATTGTCTACTTAAATGCCATTATTGTGAAAATCCATCAACATGTTTCTGTACTAGTTGTTTGGTAATTGGGAATCGACCCAAGCAAAATACTTGCAATCTGTTTCCTCATCCTGTTATATAGGAAATAAAACTTAATTGGAAGAGATTTGAGATGTAATTAAAGAGGATTAAGGGATACTTACCCAAAAATTAGCGCAGCTGATGAACCTCCTGCCAGGGTTTGTTGGCCTCCATGATGTCCACTTACCAACGGGGTCTTCACAAAAGCATGTTGCCCTTAATGCTTGCCTTTGTGATCAGATATTGCTCCTGCTTCCCACTGAGCTTGAAGATGCCATTTAGAGTTTTGCTTCGATGGAGGGTAAGAAAGGGTTTTTACAGAGGAGGATTGGGTGATGGGGAGGTTAATGGAGGGTGATAAGGACGAGCCAGCTGGGGTAACCGACTATTATAAGGATTACCGGTTCCTAGGGCTAAACTAAATGTAATAGCCGGTAATATGACATTTTTCATAAGTGAAATTTAATTTATGACTAAATCATAAACTGAGCCAAAATTTTGAGACTTTTTTGCATATTTTGCTGTAAAATAAGGTAGAGTTAGAAAAAAAAAAAAAAGAATTGACAGACAATTTCACTGAAATTGCCGGGTCCAAAAAAAAGTTTACATGGACTGAAATTGATATAGAAACCCTTGACTTTGACTGAAATTGCCAAAAAAGCACTCTAAAAATAGTTCACATAGACTTAACTTGCTAAGGTAAGGACCAAAAAAGAAAAAAAAAAATACACGGACTAAACTCACCATAAAAAAAATAAGGAACGACAAAGAAAAAAGAAGTTCATAGCGACTAAACTTGTCAATGTAAGGACCAAAAACAAATTCAAATGTACTAAACTTGCAAAAAGAAAAAAAAAAAACACATGATTGAAATTGCCAAGTAATGACCAAAAAAGGGGAAAATAACGTTCAAAGTTACTAAACTTGTCAAGATAAATACCAAAAAGAAAAAAAAATCACATAGATTAAACTTGTCAAATAAAAATAAGGACAAAAAAAAGGTTCATAAAGACTAAACTTGTCAAAAATAAATAAATAAATAAATAAATAAATAAATAAATAAATAAATGTTCTAAGAACTAAACTTGCCAAAGAAACAACTACACCATTACCAATCATATATAATTAGTAATTATGATTTTCTTAAAACTCCAAACAAAATAAGAGGTTTTTAAATTGTGTTCATGACTTTTAACATGTGCATAAAAATAATTTTTATTTGTTAAAGAAATTTAAATATTCCTTAAAAAACATGTGGAACATTATCGTATAGAATCGTATTATCATTAATATATCTAAAAGACTACAGCTAAACATAATATGTAAAAACATATATATGGATTTGTTGGAAATATTTTAATAAAGTCCATATATTTTAACGTTTATTAAAGATAAAACATTGATTTTATTTTTAGAAAAAAATTACAAATATCGGCAAATATCCATATAAAAAGACAAGTTATCAACAATGGTTTATTCAAACAGAGGTCCTCTCAGACATGAAGAATATTTACAAATATAATAATATTCTGGTGAGATAATACTGAAGATTAGAAAGAAAAAAATTGCATTCGATTGAAGTAACACAGGATGGGCTGTCAGACAATAGCAAAAGATTATAATAAAATTTCTTAAACAAAATAAAATTAGTTATATAGAGGGAATTCATTAATATTGTAGTATGATAATACATTCTAATAGATATAGATAATATAATAATATCAAAGTAATATAATCTCGTCTCCTAGATAGAGAGAATACTTTAAAAATATAATAAGATAATAGTTTTTTTTTTTTTTTTTTTTTTTTTTTTTTTTTAACTGTTAAAAGGTTGATGGTTTTACTGTTAATAAGCCTTAAATATAAACAATCATGAAAATTTTCTACTAAAACGTAAAAGTTTTAACTAATTCTTTAAAACCACATACATATCTCTTTATAATATTTAATTACGAACTGATTTATTAGATTCTATTGAAGGGTTTCATAACATCTAACACAAAGAAACTAAAAGTATCAAACGAAAAATATATATAAGTGTATGTTGATTTTCTATGCATTTTTTCTCATGTTTTACACTTTGTATGAGATAGTTTTTAAAACAGTTTGCCCTACAGTGAAAACCGTGTTTCATAACCCCATGAGAGAGGAAACCACTTTTAGACCCACGCGTGTTTCCCTCCTACCAATTGAAAACTAACACGTCAGTTGGTCTAAATGTTGATCTTTCTTCAAATAGATAAGTCAATAAGTTTACAGGAGCCTATTTTTTAGCAGAAACCTAGTGCGTCTAAATATGTCAAAAAAAGATCCTTAACTAGCTCTTTGCAATGAATTGTATCTCCCCAATAGATTCTAAGCATTCCTTGCGACAAACATGACATGCCTCATCTACCATAAATAAGGGGATTAGAAGTCGATATTTGATGATAAAATGATACTCTACTTGTGACATATGTTGACCAAACTATCTATATGAATAGCCATAAGAAAATATTGAGTATGTGGTACTCGGAGACACTCAAAAATTGTTTTATGCTTAATAGTCATGCCAAATTAAACTTTCATCTCCTAGACAATTTTACTAAAAAGGATATTTATCGTGTCATATTGAGTTTTTAGTAGAGACTATGTCCTTATTAGTGAAACAACTGAAATCAAAACCTAAAATCGTATCTTGAAGACACACCAAAAAACAAATATAATCAAAATCCATACCACACATGACACTATCTCATAAGATGTAGACATCTTGATGATTTTGAAGTCCGTGTGCGAAAAATAAACTTGGGCACTAACCATAATCTTTTTTATATATAAGCACAATTTAGTAATACTATGATAAGTCGATAAATGTTAGAAAAACAATAAAAAATAACGATAATATAAAATCTAATTTTACGTAGGTACATAAATCACGATGCTCTTAGTTACTAGAATAGTCAACAATACTATATTCGCATTAATTGTATTAGGAAAACAATTGACTATTTTTATATATTTTAAAGCATTGGTGGGGTTAGTAGTTTCACTCGGTAAGAACTTATCAACGAACTTTAATTCAAAATAAGGTTCATTTGCGACAATATTTGATCGTTCACTATACTTAAGTGCGGCTTTGTAATACAAGTATATCACAACTTATGATATTTGTTATCAAATTCACAAACACGTTGTCTATGATAAAGTTATAAATGTTTAAAGTTAGCTAAATTTTATAGTTTATTTTACATAAAAATTATAACTTTCCGACATCTAAATTTGGATTGTGATATGTCTATATAAATCACTATTACAAATAAAACAATGAAAAAGATTAAATTAAACGAAATTTATGTGAAAAAATTATAAAACTTCAAAGATGATAAAATTTAATATTTTGGTAAGTTAGACACATACAGAAATCTTTGTTATTTGGACCATTTTGCTAATCGTTTGTTAAATCTAAAAAAATAATTAGTAAGATTAAACTGATCTGTCATTTTTCTCTTTGAAAACTGATACATTATACATCCCGAAATGTTGATATATACTTTACAATTTACCCAAATTCGGCATGTACATAATGCGAGTTGACCATTCTTCTATTTTTTTTATCCAACTTAGAGATTTAAAAAAAAAAAAAAAAAAAAAAAGAAAAGAAAAGAAAGAAAACGTGAGGCTTACGAGCTTATCCATTTACAACTTTTGTAGTATCCTAGTCAGCAACGTGGCATGTCTTGGTCAAATCTGAGAAAAACCAACAGCCATGTGATGTTCAGATCACTCCACGTCTCAATATTAGAATATTGTCTTATAAAACAAGGTCACATGGTGTAAGTTGTTTAAGGTTTTATTGATGACACACACCCCCTTCTTTTCTGGACGGAAGGAGAATGGGCAACTGGACCCTTCTTTCTTGTGTACGAGTGTACCACTTCACCAACATTATCTTTTTGACTTTTTTATAATTTGTAGCAAAATGATACATATCCTTATCCGTTAAGGTCATATCACATGATTTGCTCAATTTCATATGTATTCCTTCCTTTTGCCACTTTTAGATCTTAAATTGTCATTTTAGTCGTCTAATTTACCATTTTAGTATATTGTCATCTTATCCGAATTTGATGATACATGCTTACCGAGAATTTATGATTTCTGCAGTTGTATACATCAATAAAAACTTACCTATCAACATTAATTTAAACGTGTATATATATATATATATATATATATATATATATATATATATATATATATATATATATATATATATATATATATATATATATATATATATATAGGTGGGTTCAATTGAGAAAATAAAATAAGTTGAGAACGGGAGAATCATTCTCAAC